ATGGAGCGGAAGCTGGCCCACCGCAAGACCAGCAAGTTCCCCGAGAGCCCTCGAGGTCGGTGCTGTCCCGGGGCTAACACCTGTCTGGGGGCTCCTGGCCGCCCTCGGAGACCCCCCCGGGCACCTGCCTGGGCTATAGACCACGCCACTGCCCACCCCCTCCACCCCTTGCCGTCCCCAGAGCCCAAGCAGCTGGCCTTGGAGAGGTTGGTGGGGGAGATCGCGTTCCAGCTGGACCGCAGGATCCTGTCCAGCATCTTCCCGGAGCGCGTGCGCCTCTACGGCTTCACCGTCTCCAACATTCCCGAGAAGATCATCCAGGTATGTGCCGGAGGGCCTGCGGGCAACAGCAGGAACGGGGAGCGCGCTGGACGCCGAAGGGCTGCTGGGCCCGCACTCCAGCCAGGCGAGCACAGTGTAACCCAAGGGCACCGGGGACAGAGGAAGGACTGCGCTCCGTCCATGTGGCCAGCAGTGCCCGGGCACCTACCAGCAGGAGGCCGTGGTCCCAGCTGCCCTGACTCCCCAGAGAACAGGGCAGGGGAGCGGCCGAGCATGGTCAGGTCTGCGCTTTCCCCCTCGGCCCCTGCAATGGCCCCCCAGACCTCCCCCCAGACTGGAAGGGGGCGTGCATGTGGGCTCCCGGCCACCTCCTCTAGGCCACCTGTGTCTGCGCACCATCCACCTGGGGGAGTGGGGGTGACTGGGCAGGAGTGACTGCTCACAGGGGGTTCATCTGGCCCAGCTATGAGCTTGTCTTTTCCATTGTTAAGGTGCCTTCAGTCTTTCCCTTCAGTGTGGTGCCCGTGGTGCCCCCGCGTCCCCTCAATGGCTCCGGGAATGTTTGTGACTTTTGTGTAATGAGTTAGTTGTCCAGCCGAAGCCTCTCACTGGTCTTCAGAGCTCACATATCATCAGTTCAGTTTTCTACGTAGACAGTCATTTTGTACAGTAGTTACGAGAAGCCGATGATGTGGCAACCTTATCCTGCTTCTGATTTGATGAGGACCACTTCCTGTTAAGTATGATGTGTGCTCCAGGCTTTTAAAAAATATCTTTTTCTTTTTTCTTTTTTTTTAATCATTGATTTCAGAGAGGAAGGGAGAGGGAGAGAGAGAAAAAAAAGCATTAATGATGAGAATCATGAATCGGCTGCCTCCTGCACACCCTCTACTGGGGATCAAGGCCGTAACCCGGGCATGTGCCCTGACCGGGAATCGAACCCTGACCTCCTGGTTCATAGGTCGTTGCGCAACCCTGAGCCCCGCCGGCGGGGCTGCTCCAGGCTTTTTGCCAGGTCAGTCAGTTCCCGGTTACAGACGACAGATCCCTCTCGAGCTGGTGTGAGCAGGAAGGGTTATTACGTCTGCATGGCCCAGAAGCTCCGGGAAGCAGACAACAGTGGGCTTTTCCTGCTCTGCAACCAGGAAAAATGCCAGCACACCAGGGGCCTTCCTAGTGGACACACCATTGCAGAAACCGAGGTCACAGGGGCATCGGGCGAAAAGGTGGTTTTCAGCTTCCAGCCCTATGGAAGTCAGAGGGCGCTAGAAGGCTCTAGAACAGAAACCAGATGAGCCAGATTCAGTATCTGCCCCATCAGGTTAAGAAATTTCCCCTCTCCCTCCTTTGTTGAGAGTTTTGGGTTTTTTTCCTTAATCGTGAACAAATACCGGATTTTTTTAGAATGTTGTTCTGTCTCTGATGAGATGCTCACATGACTTCCCCTCTCTCCCTTTTCTCTTTAACATATTGACACTTGAGATAAGATATTCTGATCATAAACCACACCAATCCCTGGTGTTTGTTTTGCTTTTTTAATATATTTTGATTTCAGAGAGGAAGGGAGAGGGAGACAGAAACATCAATGATTAGAGAGACTCATGAATCGGCTGCCTCCTGCACGCCCCCCCACTGGGGATGGAGCCCTCAACGCCCCGGGCATGTGCCCTGACCAGGAATCAAACCGTGACCTTCTGGTTCATGGGTCGACGCTCAGCCACTGAGACACACGGGCTGAGCAATTTTTGTTTCTTGGGTTGAGTACTTCATTTTATTTTGCATTTCTTTTGCTTTTAAATAAAGCATTTGGGGGGGGGGGGCAGTAAAAATCTGTAACAACTGGAACTACGTGTGGGACACCAGCCAGAGTGGACGGTGAGGCAGGATCTAGGGCAGAGGGGGTGGTTCTATTGCTCAGCAGCTGCCAGGGACGCAGTCTCGGAGCAGCCACAGCCCTGTGTCTGCTACCCCCCTACCTGCCTCAGAGAGTACCTGCAGGGTGGACGAACCCAGCCCTTGCCCTCTATGGCCAGACCCTGTCCATCCCTACCGTGGTCAGCTTGAGCATTTAAAACCAGAAAGCCACCCTAGCCTGTTTGTCTCAGTGGATAGAGTGTTGGCCTGCAGACCAAAGGGTCCCGGGTTCAATTCCGGTCAAGGGCAGGTACCTTGGTTGCCCAGGTTCGATTCCAGTCGAGGGCACGTACCTCCCTGGCCCGGGCCCTGGTCAGGGCTCATGCACGAGGCAACCAATCGAAGTGTTTCTCTCACATCGATGTTTCTTACTGTCTCTCCCTCTCTCTTCCACTCTCCCTAACAATCAATGGAAAAATATCCTTGGGTGAAAATTAACAAAAATAAAAACATTAATTAATTTTTAAAAAACAAAAACCACCCCCCGCCAAAGCCCACCAGGAGCCTCCATCCCTTCAGGACAGGGCCCTTCCTCCTGCTCTGCTCTCAGCACCTTGGGGTGTGGGAGGCCATGCTCTCAGCTCCCCCACCCAGGGTGCTTGTCCTACTCTTCCCCACATGCTCCCCTTACCCTCTTAAAGGGTCACTTCCTTGGGGCAGCCCTGGCCTGGTCTCTCAGCCCACACCGCTCTCCAGGGCCCAGGACCCTGCAGGGCGGGCTCAGTCTGGACCGCACTGACCTCCCGTTCCTTCCGGAGATCCGTGCCCCAGACCTCGCGCAGCGGGAGCCCAGCCAGGGCCCCGGGCTGAGCAGGCCTTGGGGCTCCTCCCGGCACAGCCCACAGCTGTGCACCCACGTGCTCCCAGCCATCCTGGGCTGACAGTCCCCTTGCTTACCCTCCACCACTGGCTGAGCTCGGGAAGTCCTTCCCACTGGGGCCCGGAGAGGAGGCTAGAACCAGGGACGCAGGCTGCCCAGGAAGTGAAGAGCCAGGCCTGGAGCTCTAGTGTCACCTGCCAGAGGTCAGGGGTCACTGCAGCTGAGCCCAGCCCTAAGCCCAATGCTCTCCTCACATGACCACCTGGGGGGAGGACAGAGTGGCCTCCCTGGAGGAGGTGATGCCTAAGCGTCCTGTCTGGGCCTTCCCATCAGGTAAGGAGCTAGCAGCTCGGGAGCGGCTGCAAGGGGGCATGCAGGGCCGGGTCAGAACCTCGCAGGTCGGCCCCGGCCCCGAGAGCGGGAGCAGAGGGAACCACAGAAGGGCTCAGGCAGGGAGACACCCTACCGGACACCCACTTCAGACCCTTAGTTCTGTGGGCCTGGGGGCCACCGCACCTGTGACAGGCACAGCATGTACAGGACCCAGTGCAACAGCTGAGCATTCAGCTGAGTGCAGGGCCCTCTGAGCCTGGTGTCATGTGACTGTCCAGGAGGCCACAGCGGGAGGCGGGGGGAGGAAGGACGCAGCCACCACCTGGCTAGGGAGCACAGGTGATGAAGACGTCGGTGGAGACAACCCCCAGCCGCTGCCAGTCCCCAGGAGCAGACACCTGAGGGACAGCAGGACCCCAGTGCTGGGGCAGGATGGCTGGCTCTGGGCCTGGGGTGGTCATGTCAGCATGAGGCGGGAGTGACTCCAGCAGGGCCTGAGCCGGGTGCAGAGAAGGAGGCGCCTGGAGAGGTGAGAGGAAGGGCAAGGGGCCAGGAGGAAGCCTGGGAGAGCCCCCTGGGGGCATCAGAGCTCCCTCACTGTCCCTCCAACCCAGGCTCCCGGCCACGCTCTCACTCTCGGTCCTCGGTTCCTCTTGGCCTCAGCTCCGTCCTGAGTCCCTAGTGGTGATGGATCCCGGGATGGGGCTTAGGGAACCTTTGCCCCTCACCTGACCGCGTCCCCTCCCTCTTCCCAGGCCTCCCTGAACCCCAATGACCACAAGCTGGATGAGGAACTGTGCCAGACGCTCACCCAGCGCTATGTGAGCATCATGAACCGGCTGCAGAGCCTGGGCTACAACGGGCGGGTGCACCCGGCGCTGACGGAGCAGCTGGTGAATGCCTACGGCATCCTGCGCGAGCGGCCCGAGCTGGCCGTGTCCGAGGGCGGCTCCTACACCGTGGACTTCCTGCAGCGCGTGCTGGTGGAGACGGTGCACCCCAGCATGCTCACGGACGCGCTGCTGCTGCTCTCCTGCCTCAGCCAGCTGGCGCACGACGACGGCAAGCCCATGTTCATCTGGTGACGGCCGCCTGCCCCGCCAGCCCAGGCTCGCTGGGTCCAGCTCCCCCACGCGTAGACATTAAAGATTCCCACGGATGCTGGCCGCGGGGCCTGCCCGCACTCCTGGCCGTGCTGCTTCCTTGGTGGTTCCCAGTCCCTGGTCAGTCCTGCCAGCCCTGGGGCAGCTGCCTGGCCAAGGGGGGGTTCAGAAGGCCCCAAGGCTCCCCTGTTCTGGCCGTGGGAGCAGCGAGATCCCTGGGACTCGGCAGGAAGAGCAGGAAGCAGGAAGGAGGCGAGCTGGTAGGGAAGGGCTGTGGCAGTGCCTGCACCCCTGGCCACAACTGTGGGCTGAGGCCTGGGTGCAATGCAGAAGGCAGACTGGACGCAAGAGGAGGACGTGGCTGTGGGAGTTCCTCCTTCTGGATCAGGCAGGGATGAAATGGGGGGGGGGTCTGGACCCTCTCGAGGGCAGGGGGACATGAGAGGGAGGGAAGGAACCAGGAGAAAGCCTCCCACGGCCCTGGGCATGGGTGGCCCAGGGGGATGGGAGCCCTCCCCAAGGCACCCGGGGCGCAGGAAGCAGAGGCAGCTCCACCGGGTGCCGAGACCAGCCCCCACCTGCTGCAGGGGCAGAGGCAGGACGGGAAGGCAGAACAGAGGAGGGGAGCTCGGCCCCAGGGGTGGCTCAGGGGTTGAGTGTCCACCTATGAACCAGGAGGTCTGGTTCAGTTCATCAGGGCACGGGTTGCAGGCTCCATCCCCAGTAGGGGGCGTGTGAGAGGCAGCCGATCTATGACTCTCCCATCATTGGTGTTTCTATGTCTCTCTCTCCCTTCCTCTCTGAAATCAATAAAAATATTTTTTTTTAAAACATGGTTTAAAAAAAAGAATCTGCTGTAGGGACTGGTTCACAGCTCCAGTTAGAAAGGGGGTGCCCAGCGACGCCAGCGGGAGTCCGAGGCCGCTCCCTGGCCACCACCTGAGCGGGTGGGAGCGGGCTCAGCAGGTAACGGAGACGGGCCCTCGTGCCAGGAGGGGGCGGGGGAAGTGGCCGCGTAGGGTGGAACCAACGGCCCCTTCCTCCTAGTCGGGAAGCTTCGTGGGGTAGGGTCACAGAGCCGTCCTACTGTGCGCCCGGCCTCGGCGGGGCTCCGCGGAACGCGGTTAGGCCGCTCAGAGCCTGGAGACCGTTCCTTCACTGGGGTCCCCTCTTTTGACTCAAGGGCTGGACACCGAGACCCTGGGGAGACGGCGGGGGTGGGGTGGGGCACATCCCAATGTCTGGCAGCAGGAACACCCGAGCAATTCCACGCGGACGTGCAGGAGGCGGGAGGGA